ATCTGTTTGTTTTCCTAGCAGTCCATGGTACATTCAATACTCTTCTCCAGCACCACAGCTCAAAGGCATCAATTCTCCTTCTATCTTCCCTAGTCTTTTTCCAACTCTGTAATGCATAACAAGTGATAGCAAAGACCATGGCCTGTATCAGACGCACCTTAGTCTCCAGAGAGACAATAGTATATAATATTTCTCAATTGTTGTTATGGGCAGTTGAGTTGCAACTGTCTCGTAACTGACCCCTCCAGCAGATTTTAAAGGCTCTAAATTACACAGGGGAGGTTGCCCTTTTTTTTTTTCAGAGGGTGGTTGGTGGATTTAAACCAAGTGCTTTTGGGTTGGCAGCACAATTCCTGACCACTAGATAACCAGAGTTTCATATCTATATTATATAATCAAAACAATGAAGTGGACATTAATATTATTTCCATTCAACAGACATAAATATTGAGAAATGGAAGTAATTTGTCTAAGTTACTATAGCCAATTACTGGCAATTTGAGCTAAAGAAAACTGCTTCAAAAATCTACTGTTGGATGCACTGTAAGTACCACTATTATAAGACTAATGTCCACCATAGATTCTATAATATATATCATAACAAAAATTCCCTAAGATGAAGCAATATTCACTAAAAGATCACAGACTGCATATGAAAACAGACTCAGTTTCAGGGATAATTTCATATAGTCTTTTTTCCCCTTTCTTTTCTCACTAAAGTATTTTATATTTTAAACGATGACAATGATATCATTCTATGATCTAAGAATCAATATATGTTAAGTTGCACATTAGAAGGGATATTATAGTAAGAGAATCTGTCTATGTGCTTGGGGAGCTGAGTGGCTTTGATAGACCAATTTTATAAAATCATATCCACATAAAAATTTCCTGGGAATTAAGTAGACTATTTGGTCCACAATTCAAAGTCCAGAGCAATTTTCAACCATGAAAGTCTTTTGGATTTAGATCTTTAAAAACTTTGAAGACCCCTTGGTCACCTTGCGGGATAGAGGTTATATTGGTGTCGGCAATGCGGATATAGGAGAGTTTCTTCATTCCTTGGAAGGCTCCATTTTCAATTCCTGAGCTCTTCAGTGGGTTGGTCCCCAGTTCTGCAAATACAAAAATAAAACTATTTTAGAGGATAATAGTCAGGTAACACAAGTAAGAACAATAAATCTAACCAACATTTGGGTCTGGCATAATTTAAAAGTAGAAGGAAAAATGAGAGCTATATATCTTACAGGAATAAAAAATAAAAATTCCTCATGTGAATACCAACACACGAAGGAAAAGAAGAGCAAAAATGTCCATCAAACACTTTTACATATATATGTAAGTTTGCCCAGAAATTAACAGAAAGTTCTCAAATTGTATCTTTTGTCAGCAGGATTTACTTTACTAAATTGTTTTAAAATGCTGTTAGAATTGTACCTAGGATTTTTTTAAAGCCAGTTATAAAATTACATGTTTACTACATGTATCTATGAACTTTAATAAATGTTGATAGTTGTAGAGGTGATTCAAGCCTTTTGTTCATAGGGTCTCTATGAGTCGTGCTTGACTCAAAGGAAATCAACAACAATATATAGCAAACCATTATACCATTAGTAGAGTAAATTCTCACAATGGAAAAGTAACCCCACTCAAAGCACAATTCCATGCTGGGTTTAACATGCTAGAAAGATAACTTCAGATCTAGATTTATCTGTCTTTCCTGTGACATATGTCTATTTCCTATATACTTATATCTCTATTCCATATATGTATAAGATTATAAGGGATACATACAAATTAAATATATATTATTATGGTTTACATCAAGCCAGCCTGTTCAACTTTTGATCAGATTATTTCACCATTCTGGTAGGCACATCAGTGAATAGTGGCCAAAATGTTCACCTCATTTTTCACCAATAGGCAGGCAAAAATAAAATATGGAAGCCATAAAGATGAAGATGGACTTCATATTTATTTGTGAAATCACTACAATGGACATAAATGCAAATCACTTATTGTATGGAATAAATCAATAAATAAATATAAAAGTACTTTGTATGCATTATGTCACCATCTAATTACTATCAATAACAACAACAACCAATATGTAGTTTTCATTATGATGTTGAACATAAAAGCATCCTTTACAGTAAAATAACTATAGAGAGGACCAAAGGGATCTTTGCCGTATTCACTGGAATATGTACTCACAAGAGTTGAGGTTTTCCTGATTTCACAATACAGGAAAATCACTGTGTTCTGTTGATAAGTAACAACTATCTATATTTTTCAGTTAGTCTATTAACAAGACATCTAAGTAATGGAGAAAGGACTGATTGAGGAGACAATGAGCAATGCAAAAATGCTTCCATGAGGTTGGACTATGGGAAGCGAGGAAAATATGTAAACCAGAAGAATTTTCATTGATTTGGTGTTTTTATTCTTATTCACAGAGTTTGGTAAATGTACTCTTTCTCTTGTGGCAGCACTTAGACTGTGTGGTGATTGTTGTTTACTTGTCTAAACTTGCTCTAGTGTGTAAACTCCTTAAAGTTGGGTACTATATCCTAGTTCTTGATTCTAGTACAGTCCTAGCTGTACTCTCACAGTGTTCAGTTCATTGCTTAAGCACGGAAAATAGTAACGATTTTTATTTAATGGTGTTGTTATTGTTGTTATGTGGCATCGAGTCGCTTGTGACTCATAGCGACCTTTTGTACAATAGCCCTAAACTCCGCGCTGTCCTGTGCCAGTCGCACTGTCTCTGACACTCCCATCCCGATTATACCAGTCATTGAATCAATC